GAGTGCACCCGGTCCTTTCCAGCAGCTCCCATTTGTACAGTAAAATGGCAAAATGGCCACTTCACAGATCCCCCCTCTTTACCACATTGTGTCCTCATGAGACACTGACAGTTGTGTGTGACCGTGCATGCGTCTGTGTGTGTGCACGCATCTTAGCAAGTGAATATGTGTGTATACGTGTGTGTGCCGCACATGGCCACAAATCTAGGGCATGTCCAAGTTTCTGGTGCAAATGTGTGTGTGTGTGTGTGTGTGTGTGTGTGTGTGTGTGTGTGTGTGTGTGTGTGTGTGTGTGTGGATATCAAGTGTTTTATTCCCAGATGAAATAGCCACTACTTGAAATATGTGATATGCTTACCTTGCCTACTCTTTTAAAGGATAGTAGGTCATGCTGGTCCCTGGTTCTGAAAATGTTCCACTGACTTTTCTGTTTTATTTCATCTTATTACATAATTCATTTAACACAGGTTAAGATGTCTAAACCTTGCCAAAGGGAAATTAGTGTTTTCCTGCTTTCTTTTTCTTTGTTTTGCATGTTCCTCGTCACACCTCTTCCCACGTTTTGTGAGGCGTAATGGCTTCCATATCCAATGATCCCCTCCGCCAAGTGAAACCATTGGCAGTGAGCTGGGAAATGGCTGCTAACGTTTTAATGACTTAATGAGACCTAATTAGTTGAAATGGGAGAGAGGAAGAGAGGAGCCATGGAGGTGAATAGTGTGTGTTGGTGCACAAGATTGTGAGCGTGTCCGGTCTTTTTTAAGTGTGCCTGTATGTGTCTGTGTCTGTATGGGGTTTGGATGTATGTGTGTGTATGCATGTTTATGTTGTCTCCATGGCAGGTGTGTGTGTTAATGCCTGTGCAGCCTTTCTCAGCATTACCCAGCCTCTTCATCAGGAAGTGATGGTGGGGGGTCAGGCCTCATTTAATCAAGAAAAAAATTCCATCTCCCATTAACTTAATTAATCCAATGCCAGAGAAAGAGAAGCGGAAAGGAACCTGGCTGTCTCTGTGTATATACAGTATGTGCGTGCCTCTGTATATATGTGAGGAAATAAAAAAATTTCTAAGCTGAATTCACAAAGAGGTGTTTCAAGTAAGTAAAATGGTATTACTTTCACAGATACAGTTATAAACCTCTGTGTAATACTGTAATGTGTGCAGAGGATTTCAACTCTTGTGCTTTTGTCAAGAAATCTGTCCTAGAGATCCAGCAGCATCTTTTATATGTTGAAAATATTGTCATCCAATTCATTTTTTATTAGATTCAAGGTTGTCATTTGAAATATCTATACATTTCAAAGGAATTTGGTCTAATTTTAACAGATGACTAGATGTTTTTTTCTGAGCTGTGCTGTTATCAGCTGTTCCACCAACAAACTGAGACTTTGGATAACCAAAAGGTAAATGCCACAAATGTATGTCCTATTAAATCAACTATTAGAAATCCACACATCTCTTGCTAGCTGGGTACTCTCACGTTTCTTGGCTGGAATTACACTTTTACAGTACTGTGTGTTTCTGATTTTTATTATTTTTCTTCTGATTATAATGCAAGAAAACATAGTGTGATCATTTAAAGCCACACAGCACTTTTACATCCAGACCATGGAGGTCAGACAGAAGCAGTTCTTTTTCAGAAGGCTGTGTCAAAACTAATTTCAAACTATTGAAAAATGTTCACAACTACTTTCATCTAAAGTCACCAGCCCAAACATATCTGCTTTCACTGTCAGTATAAATGTGCAGTTTGAATTCTGTCATCGCAGTATCTTTTGGGCCTTTATTTTTGAAGAATGACTGGAAAGTTGGGAGAGAGAGAAGGGATGACATGCAGCTAGAAGGCCGCAGGTTGGAATCAAACCCAGGCCGCTGCAGTAAGGACTCAAGACTTATTACATAGCATGCACGCTCAATCAGGTGAACTACCATGTGCCCAGAATATAAAGGTTTTCAAGGCAACATATGGCAACTCGCTCCAAAGCTCCTAAACTACATTGGTGGAGGTACTTGAGGCATAAAAAATATATCTAAATTATTTGGAATTCCAAGGCAGATGGTTTAAAAAAATCATGACTACATAAAATATGTCAAATACAGACACTGTATAGACAAAGAGGAACAAGTAGCCAAGGGATATGATGGATATAAACGGTATATAGGGACACAGTTTTTGCAGTGGTGATTATTTTTCTTATTTCAAAGTAAATTTCTATTAAATAATTAATCTTATTTTTTTTTTTTCTTTTATTGCCTTTATTATAGTAGCAGCTGAAGATAGACAGGAAAGGAGGGCAGAGAGAGGGGATGGCACGCAGCAAAGGGCCACAGCCCAGCTCCACCCACTGAGCTATCCTAAGTTTCTCTCTTTCCTGACAATAGAAATTTACCAATATGAAGAAGCTCAAGTCAAATTATGCGTTATTTGCTGTGCACTAGTAGACTGAAAACATATTTTGAAATGTTTTATTGTATTTGCTACCTATCGCTATAAACATCTAACCATAGATCTTTTGAAAGGTTGGGTTTTCTCTTCTTCATTAAAGGGATAGGTTTAAAAAGGTACTTATCCATAGTCAGTGTATTACCTGTATTAGACAGATGTCAGCATGCCCCCAGTTGGAAGAGTCCCGGCAGGGAAGCAGAGCAGTGTACTTCTGAAAACAAGGTCAGCAGAAAAACATATTTCAGCCATGCACATAAAAAAACTTCCACCTTAACCTTAACATCAGTTAAGTGTATGTTATATTAAGAGTGTTTTCACCACATTACCTTGCTGGTAGACAACCCTTTCCTTTGGCACTACATTTCTTCATCTCGTTCAGTATCCGTCTGCAAAAGTTCTTGTGTATACTCTGGTTCATAAAGGTATCCTCATGCCTTTGCAGTGAATGGCATTGTGTCGCTGTTATAATCACGCATTTCTGTTTTCTTGTATTTGTTTTTTCTCTTCCATAAACCACTGTAACTCAGGCCCAAACATCTGTGGCGTAATATGCCGTGCACAGCACAATTGGACCTACACTTTGGAATACATAGGTTAAGACAATGTGGCGCCAAACGGCTGTCTGACAGCAAGGTTAAGTGGTGAAAATGTTCTGAATATAAATACATTTTCTGCCGGCCCTGTATTCAGCAGTGCATTGCTCTGCTTCCCTGCTGGGACTCCTGTCTGTCTGTCTCTCCTAACCAGGAGGCGCTGACCTCTGTCTATTGAAGATAATACACTGACTATCATAAGTACCTCCAACAACCCCACTTCAAAAAACTTAACCTATTCTTATAATAAAATACAGACGACATTAAACTTCACATGAACACTAAGATAAGCACATTTAGTAAGTTGTGTTTCAAAAATACTAGTAGGTCTAACCTTGTTGTCAATTTACAAAGAAAATTATTTCCTGGGGTGTCGCACAGATTACAAAATAGATGTTGAAACATAATGTGCATCGGGCAATACGTGTAGTCTACTGAAAGGAGTGCAATGTTAAGATACTAGACCCTTCACGTTATTTCATTAAGTGTCTAATGCTTTCCAGTCTTCTCATTCTCAATTATTAAGTGCTGTCATGTCAGACAAGATCTGAGTTCCTTTTATCTCCCATCTCTGATTTGCTCTTGATCTTTCCCCTCTTCTTTTTTCCAATTCCCTTTTCTCCTAAGATCCTCTACTATTTTTATCCCTTTTCTCCTACCATCTTGTTATTCACATAACTGAATTAAAACTGTTTCACAGCTGTTAAATTGAAGGAAAACCACATAGATTATAGCAACTGTGTGGATGAGATAGAGGAATATAAAGATAGAAGATAAATTAAAGCTGCAAGCAGCGATGATCTGGCCCTTGCAGTCCACTAGAGTAGGGCATGCTGCAGTCATCTTATGCACCAGTATATAGTGTGTAGACCACGCCATGAAATTTTAAAAGCCATACAGACTTACTTCTTGTTTCCAGTAGGTGGCGCTAAGAGTATGACTGAATATTGGCATTTTGATGTGTTCAGGGGCAGGACTTTTATCAAACGTGAAGTTTGATGCAGATTCGACAAAGTATACTCGAGTTCTGACAACTTCCTGTTTCAGGGTAAAATGTCGAAATATGGCGCCACACCACGGACACGCCATTCGATGCACATTCACAAAAAGCACAACTTTTAATCGTGATGGTCTTCAGATTACACTGGCCAACAAGCAGTTGCTGCTCGGGCCCGAAATAACGTTTGCAAAGAAAAAGATATATGTGAACAATACACTGATACCACATATCTTGTCTGATACTACAAATGCATTCATTTTCATTTGCAATCATTTACAACTTTTTTTTCAAAATGATATTGTGTTTAATAAAATACACCTTACTTTAAAAGTAGTTAAATTATTAAAAATAAAAATTATGAAGATTTGGCACAGTAAGATTGCTGTGGTTAAACAACACTCTTCTTGTCATTTCACACCAGCTCATCAACTTCTCACTCCAGGACTTCCCCTTTCTCTCACTGACTTTAATGTCCTGCTGCTGACATACAAATCCCTTCATGCTGCTGAACCCATTTCATTTTCAGAGCTCCTCCTTCTCCTCCTCTGGCCTCCTCTCTGTCCCCAAAACACCCTGCCTCTGGAATGCACTACCCCTATCCATCTGTGTCGCCAACACTATTGATTCTATTGAAGTAATGCTATAAAATGACAAATTGCCATAGGCTGAAATTGATATGGTAGACAAAAATAACCAAAAATGATAAATGACACAGATGTTTGAATAATTGGACCAATGAGGAAGAAAAGTGCAATATTTAATTCATTGTTGAGCTGTTATAGTGTTCACAGAGCAATAATAAGGTTCCTGCAGAGGGTTGTAGTGAAGCTCTGTATATATTGTACGCTGACAATGCTGCATTACAAATGTTTTTTTAGAAAAAAGATGAACTTAGCTTAACCTAGACTACTGCAAGTACTGAGCATGGTTAATAAACTGTTCTTTCTTTGTCCCACACAGAAAAGCCTGTTTCGGTGGAGCTGAGCTGCGGGGCTGGACCCAGCCATGTAGTGTTGGAGCCAGGTTTGCCCCTCTTGCTGGACTGCAACCTTGGGGCCAGCGATACACCTTTCAATGTCACCTGGCTTCAGGATGGCCAGCCTCTGCCTCTGGATGGAGGTGACTTCCTGCAGTATTTGGCGAATGGATCCCTCCTCCTGCTGCCCACCTCTAAGGATGGCCAGCTTCCCCAGGGAGTGGAGGGGGGCTACAGCTGTGTGAGTGCCAGCGCCCTTGGAGCCCTGACCAGCCGGACTGTAAATGTTCTCCTAGCAAGTAGGTGTCCAGCAGATACATTTGCAATTTCTTAAGGGTTCAAGCAAGCTCATGTTTAACTCCCAAGTATGGCATTTGTTTTGACTCATAAATATGTCCAAATTAATGCAAATCTAAGCTTACATACATAGTTTACTCTGCCTTTCTGTAGCCATTATAGACAGTGTATCTTTTTGCCTAATACATCCTGGTATAGATTCCATGCCCTGATTGTAGAAAGTGCATGGATAGATGGATGGATAGTTTAACAAACATCTCTTATTTACAGAGCTGCACTTTGGAGATAGGAATAATTCAATAGATGCAGTAGAGCTGCAACGGTTAGTATATTAATAGATGACATTAGAAAATGTATCCACAACAATTCTGATAATGTATCATTTTAGTTATTCTTTATGCAAAAATGCCCAACGTTTACTGGTTCCAGCTTCACAGATGTGAATATTTGCTTGCTTTTGTTTTCTCCTGTGAAAGTAAATGCATATCTTTGGGTTTTTAACTTGGTCAGGTAAAACAAGGCATTTAGAGACATTACCTTGGGCTGGTGTGATGAACATTTTATTGAAAGTAATTTTACATTGCATTGCCAAGGTAAAGCTCCAAAAGAAATGCACATTTGGTTATATAGAAGCATGAATAGGAGGTAACTAATTTTGAGAAGGCACTTGAACCTGAAAAAATGTCAAGTGTTGTCGAAGAGGTAGGTTGCAGCAACACTCATGTAATGGAAAGAATATTGGTTTGATTCATTCATCCATTTAAAGCATTCAGTTGGGTATGCAGGCACACACACACACACACACACACACACACACACACACACACACACACACACACACACACACACACACACAGAGCAATGTTATTTGTCAGATTTGTCAGATTTGTCAAGGGAATTTCCTTGCATGGATGGAGATGAACTTGGTTCCCCTCTGCCTCAGATAGGAGACTCGTCCTCTGGTGGAGCGCTAACAAGTGTCCTGGGAACAGGTACACTTTTAAACAACGGTCTGTTAAAAGGCACAGAATAAAGAGGAAGCGTGGGTGGAAATGAAAGAAATGAACAGGAAGATGCGAGCGTGAGGGACGAGAGGACAGACTGTAGCTATTTAATCGCCCCTCCAAGGAGGCCTCTTTCTCTCACACTCTTAAGTGGTAGTCTTTATTTAGTCATTAGCTTTGTGTAAAATGAGACAGTATCCTTTGTGGATGCCCCTGCTTTTGTCAGCTGTCACATGCCTATTTATGAGGATCTCTTGTTTGAGGGACAATAAGGTGTAAAGGGGAGGGAGGGTGGATGTTGGATGAATGGTGGGAAGGCGGAAAAAGCTGAAGAGAGTTTGTTGTGACAGTGAAAGGAAAGGCTTTAGAGACCATTAAGAATGACCTTCAGTTTGCATGTGTATACTCGCATGTGTGTGTGTGGTTTTTGAATCAAATCAGTGGCGATGGGATAGATGCGACCAGCGTGCAGGAGGTTGAAGCATTGACATTGAGCGGACATTCTCATTTCCTACTGCGTGTTCTCCAGCAGAAATGAGACCGAAGAGAGAATGTGGCAGAGATCACATCTGTGAAAACACATTACGAAACCCATATGTTGCATGTGGCCTTGACAGAGAGGTACAGAAACAATGAAAGAGACCTGTTCCCTCTGTAAATGCAACTAAAAAAAAGGTCTTCAATATTTTCGTCTCTAACTTGCTCATCTCTCTGAAAATTGCCAGGGGTGGCATACAGTGTGCACATTACATTTCCTAAATATATCCACGGTTAAATGATGATGCTGGAAAAAAAGCTGCTTTTAATGTTAATTAGACCAATTAACCTTTCTTATTATGAGACTGCTGAAGTGAATGTCAGTATTTCCTAATTCCTACTAGCTTCAGCTGATGTTATAACCATGAAGAGTATGCTCTCTCCTCCACACAAACAAGCTGATTATAGGTTTAATCTCTTGGTCTTCATTTACAAAGGACAAACTATGATAAACTTTATTAGTGTTTTCTTTGTGGTACCTCTTTATTTTCAGCTCACATGAGTGTCACATGATTTTAAGAAGTTCTTATCTTGAGGCAGCCTACTATTAATGCATACAAACACTCTCTCATGTACTGTACAACTCTATGGACTCCATGCCTGTAAAAAGCTGAAAAGGGGACAAGGAGAATCCCTTTTTATGAGGAAGATGGAGATGAGATATGGTAGTCCAAGTCAAACATTATAAGAAAATGTCCACCCTGAAATTGTTACTTAAAGGTCCAGTAGATGCCATTAGAAAGACACTGGTCCTTTGAAAAAAGTATCAGAGATTCAAAGAATTGAGCACTATTATAAAGTTAAAAAGGGCAGTTACCTGTAATCGTAATAGAGAATAATAATATTTTCATATTGTACATATTGTGCAGTAGCTATTACGAATATCTGTTGAAGCTGGGGGCTTGCTTGATGGGTTTTCACAGTGTTAGTCTGCCTGAAAGCTGGGTAGCAAAGAGGTCACGGGTGGAATTATCTGCTTGCACAAGGGGAGGGGAAAAACGTTGCAATCTGATAGCTGTGGGGCCAAAGAGTGGGGCATAGATAGAGGGACGGACAAAGACAGAGAAAGAGTCGGGGTAAAGACAAGGGCAGGAGAGAGAGAGAGAGAGAGAGAGAGAGAGAGAGAGAGAGAGAAGCAATAAATAAAGACAAATGATAGGGAGCAAAGAAAGACAAGAAAGGGACTTTTTATGTAGCGCATCGAAGGGTTACAAACTTTACATAGAGAAGTGCCCAAGGAGCTGCCTGAAAATGTTTTTTTTTTAACATAGAAAGAGCTTGTTGCTAGGGAACAACTGGCCATATTTTTGACCCTGTGGCAATATGTCACCTTGTGCTGGGAGTGTTACTCTGAAAAGTCCCAGGCAAAACAGTGCCAACTTTGCAACACCCAAGTGTGTGTTCAAAAGATCTTCGGTGGAATTTCATTGCAGGGGACACTCATGGAATCCTGGGAAAAACTAATATGATTATGCTTTGACAGAGTGCAGGTGGAAGCTCAGCCAGTCGCCATTGTTCCATCACAGCATGGGCAAAGTGTCTTCTCCGAACACCCGCAGCTCCCTTTGCATTAACGCCTGATAATGTGCACTCTCGTAGATCAGCTGTTGTTCACTACTTACATACAGATTCCCCCCCACCCACCCACCCGCCCCCGCCCCATCACCAACACTTTATTTGCACATAGATGCACACATGATGATCCAGCCCGAGCAGCCCATGTACAGGCATCAAGGCACGCACTACAGTAAACACTGAGGTACAAATAGCTCAGCACACATGCAATCAGGTTTGAACACATGCACACACTCACACGCGCAGTAAGCCTGGCACCCTGTCAGGCACTCTCTGGCAGTGTTACAGGTGGTGTGTTTACATGAGGGCATCGTGCTGTGTAATGGCTGGAAGTGGCAGGGGTTAATCATCAACTCCTCCTGCAAAGCTTGCTACAGAACAGTCATAGCAAGTTTTTCTGAAATGAATCACATGCTTTCTGCTACTATGGCCAAGCAAGTGTGTGAGCCTCTGTGTACTCATTGAGAAACCTTTTTCCTTCAGCGCAGTAAGAAAACACAGATGGTCAGTTTGCTGCCATAACTAACAGTTGGTGTGATAGGGGTTAGGGTAATCTCAGATAGTCTGCCCTGTGTCTACTCGAGTTTACAGTGGTTTGGAGGAAATCTTGTCCAAAAGAATATGTTTGGAAATTTTGAGGTAGCCAGGTGATTGGCTGCACGTTTGAAAACACCCACTCCTGAAAATGGGTCCTCTTGTTAGTTCAATGTTAAAGCAGAAACAGGTTTGGGAGCTAGTGTCAGGCTCTGCACTCAGTCCTCTCTTCCATAGTTTTGTTTGTTTAAAGTCAGATGACATCTCACTGTGTCTACACTCTGCAACTTTTTAGCCATGCTAATGGAAGCTGTACGGATGGTAGTGTTGGTCTGTTGGCCGGTCGGATGGTCAGTCCACCACCGCTGTGACCGAAATATCTTGACAACTGTTGAATGGATTGCTATGACATTTACGTACAGACATTCATGGTCCCTATAGAGGATGGATCCTGCTGACTTTGGATATTCCCTGACTTTACATATAAGTCAGGGTATTGGGAGGGTTCCTAACCGGATTGGTTACCATGAAATTTTATTCTGCCAGGGTGTTCAGATAATGAATCATAATGACTCTGGTGATCCCCTGGCTTTACCCTGGACATTTGTGGTATCATGTTTTTTGTCAATACAACTATTGTGTGTGTTGCCATGAAAACTGGTACAGACTTGGTACAGATATTCTTGTCCCCCTCAGAATAAATATCCCAACTTGTCAACTGGTGCCATTATCAGGTCAAAGTTTGTCTTTGTCCAGTTTGGTTTCTTGGTTTATGACCAAAGGATACAGACACTAACATTTTGCACATATCATCACTGTACTTAAGTGCAGTCTCACAGATCGCTACACTTTGTAGACTTCCAATGTTACTAGACTGCATGAACATTTCATCATTGAAGTCGGGCTAATGAAGAATAGGGTTAGAGTTGACGGCGGTGTTGTGTGTATGAAGCTGGTTACATGGCTTTATGATGTAGTGCACTTGGTTTCGTCCAGCCTAGAGTAACACTAAATAAAGAGCAACCAGAACCTTCTTGTTGTTAGAGTTCCGTTACCGATGCCAGTACTGGAAATTCCTCCGGTACTGCCTAAAATGCGCACTAATCCAGTACCATGTAATCTATTAGCCCCAAAATAAGACCCTGCTACATCCCATTCATCATTTTTTCCTCCTAGGATAGCAAAGTCATGACCTGTCCTACTTTGACTCTGACAAAGGGTTTAACTTGAACCGGGCCATACAACAATGAAAGCAGTTATACAGGCTTAGTAGTCTATGCCTGTTGAAAAGTAACATATCCCCATTGGGGATTAATAAAGTTTATCTTCTTCTTCTGTATACATATCTATATATCATCTATATATATATATATATTTTTTTTTTTAACAAAGCAAATTTGTCCTGAGTTTCAGCTTGACCAAAAAATGATTGAAAGAAAGAAATATGGTTGATACAGTGTGTAGTGTCACACTGCATGTAAAAAGTAAATACAATGAAAGTGTCCTTTCTGAATGCAAAGTACATGTTACTTCTAAGTACGACCTAATCTATTGTAAGAAAGATAGCTGTGTAATTTGTTCACAATGAATCACTTATTTAATAAAACCATATCTCTGCTGCCAGAAAGAAGCTCTTGAAACGTGTGAATCAGCTTTGTCCTTCCTGCAAGGTAGATTTATGTATGTAACACTGTGGGATAATCTTTACATGTTGTCATGCTGTGCGGTTCTGGTCTGAATCAGTTCTGCAATTAGCTCCACATGGCGAAAACGTGTTACACGACAGGATACAGAAACCAGAAAGAATGACTTGATTACCAACTATTTTTGTGTTGATGCATTGATGTGTGAGGGGTACCTCTCTCTCTGTTACAACAGAGAAAATGGTCATATATTGATTTAAAGATGGATTTCTACATGTATACTATATTTTTTAGCCTATAGTTGTTACCTTGATGCTTTCTTCCTGCCTTTGGTTGCCTTATCTGCCTTCTTTCTCTGCTCTCTCCTTTGATCTACCCCCCACTCTCCACTCCTCAGTCAGTGCTACAGGCGAAGTGGCTGGGACAGCCAACCAGTTTTGTTCTCTTCTCCAACAGCCTGTTAGGGTCAGAGGTTAGAGGCCCTCAGACAGTGCTCATTGCTGCCCCCTGGTGCTCAGTATTATCCACATTAGGAAGCTTTCCCGTGTTTGTGAATGTGTTGAGGCTGTAAAAATTGGAGCCCTGCCAAGACACGACCTGGAGAGAGAAATAATCTAGCCAAGCCTGATTAAATCCCCCAATTTCTCCTAATCAGGACATTCAAGGGTATTTAAATGGTCTGAACAAGTCTTTAATTAAATTACAACATTGAAACCTGTACCTTTAAAACCCCTAAAATGGTCTGACTACAAAAGTCAGAAGTCTGTCAAGTAGAGACTATATCAGTGTTATGGACATTTCTGAACCTAAACTGTTTTATTAAAGTGAACCAATTGAAATAAAGTACCTCTCTTAAATTGGATTTTTAAAGGTCCACTGTGTAACATTCAGCAGAAATTTGGGAAAATGAAAAATAATATTCGTATGTGTGTTTTCATTAGTGTAGTAGTGTTACTGAAATAAGAATCGTTGTGTTTTTGTTACCTTAGAATGAGGTATTTTTATCTACAAAGGGGGCCGACAATGTGGATGGAGCTGTAGAGCAGTTGTGGACTGGGGCTTAGAGAATATTGAACACATCATGTGTAACCTACATCAAACAAACTGTGTCCTTCATCGTTCCAGACATGACACACAGATCTCAGATCATTAAAAAAAGGTCATTCAGTTTCATCAGTTTAGATATGGGCCATTGTCTGTATATGTCCACTGAGAAATCACTTATGTCTGCTTTGATAAATACCCCCCTGACCTCTTTCACCTCTATTCCCCCCAGGTCTGTCTAAGTTCCATCAAGAGCCATCACCCCAAACTGTGCCCGCTGGGGGAGCTGCCCGCTTCGAATGCCAGATTGAGGGAGTACCCACACCTGTTATTACCTGGGAAAAGGACAAAGTGGCTGTCCCTGAGGAGACACGGTGACCCCTTCTATCTACATGTTGTCATTCTGTCTTCTTTTTCTTAAAATATATCAATGCATAAATGATGCGATTACTCCGGTTTGTTTCAGAGTTTCTGCAATTTCAATCCAAGTAGTTAATTATTTTGAGGGCATATTCTTTTTAGTTATTGTGCTGTTTCCCTAGTAATTGTCTCTTTACTTGTTGCCTAATTAATATGCAATACTATAAATTACATCATCACATTATATAATCATATGACATATTCATTTAAATGGCTAATGTGATAAGTCAGATGGAACATGACTTTCTAGGGTAATTACTTCTTATAAAAGTAAACTAAATCATAATTTAGTGAAATGCACATCTGGGAAACACATGTAAAAGACTGAAGTTCATGCAAGTCAGTGAATATGATGTACAGACCATGGTACTCATAACTCAAGCTGGCTGTGGCCCTCCACATGTGGATTTAAAGTGCCAAGACTAAGACTGCCAAAGTCATCTTGGTTAAATAAAAAATATCTTATGATGATGTTTTCAAACCACTCATTATGAATATTTTGCACTCTTACAGATAAAGACAAAAACATTTTAAAAATGTACACCTGTTGCCACATCCCTGACATGTCTATCTCTGTCAGTTGTGTCTCACAAATGTTTTACCATTTACTGGTCCACTTAACGATATTGACATTTCTCTGTGGCTCTTCTGGCCCCGGTGCCTTGGAATTTGTTTCCATCCTTATTGCACAGGACTAAGTGCTAATGGCTGCTGTGACCCGCAAACAGCTCGCTGCTTATAAGGTCTTATTGGAAGGATGTGGTTCTCCCACCTCAGGCGCTGTTAATGGCCTCTTACAAAGATGAGCTAAAGGATGGTTGAGATACATCACTATCCTTTTCTCTCTGTGTTCTCTCTGCCTCCAATGTGCTTTTTCCTCTTTGCCATATTTTGTTCTTTCTCTTTGCTATTATCCCCTTTCCATCTCTATTTATGTTACACTACTTCCCTGTCTTCCTCTCATTATCTTTCTGTTTTTATTCTTTGTTTTTCCCACCCACTGCCTTGTTATTCTCCCTATTCTCTCAACTCTTCTCCACTCCCTCCCTTCTGAACATGATACCACTGGTCACATTTTGTTGGGATTAATAGGCTATGATAAAGGTGGTAAGAGGTTGTGAGATGACATTACATTGCCAGGGCCCAGGAGGCCTGTCTTGCAGGCCAGAAGTAATATGTAATATGTCTGGAATATGTCTGGACCTCCATAGAGGAGTCAGAAGTAGAGTTGGATTAAAGTAGTAGTAAAAGTAGTAGTAAATATTAAATATGGACTGTCAAAATGGACACTATACCAAAGGATAATATACACAAACTTTATCACTTTTTTATATTTAGTGTCTGGGGATATTCTGTGCTTATATGAAGGTTGTGAGTTTGTCTTTGTCCAGAAAACAACTTTCATCTTTATATCCCGATATTTAAGTCACATTTTGAGTTGCATGACTAGTAATTGCAACCTCTCCCTGTGGTGCTGGTACACAATAGTATTCTTCTGAATAAAGAAGGATAGAAGCTATGTGAGGACTTATCAAGATCCCTGCAGAGTTTATCAGCTGGATGTTTCATGCTACAGGGCACTAAGCCATTTATTCACTTGTTTTTCTCTCTTTCTCATTCGCCTTCTTACTCCTTCTCCCTCTGCCACCTCTCCTCTGTTTTGCCCTGCGTGAAACAGGTTTATTTCCCTTCCTAACGGGGTGCTCCAGATTCTGGAGGTGACCAAGGAGGATGAGGGTGCTTACCGCTGTGTTGTGTCCAACTCTGCCAGGAAGGACATCAGTCATGAAGCCATGCTCACTGTCACCACAGGTGAGGTCTGTTGCATTGCTTTATAATGTTTGAATAGGCAGCCAGGCCCTGCTGGGAGCTACCAGGCCAATCTCAAAAATCGAATGTAAGTTTGAGGACTTGATGCTTGAAATGTGTTGCGTCTCTCCAGTGCTAACAAAATGGCACTCTTTCATGGAAACCTGTGTTTGTATTTGTATTTTACATACTGAACTGATGTGGAATTATTGACATTATTCAGACTATGATAATAACTTGTATAATCACATGCGGATCTAGAGAAATATTCATAGGGCGGCAAGAGGGTGGCATGGGGACTTAAAGGGGTGGCAGAAAAAGATCCTGATTTAATCGCATACAAGACATAAACTTTTAACAATATTTGCTTGGAAAAGCCCCTAAATGAAGATATTTTAACTTTACATTACATTATTGTGGCACCTTAGTAAAGCATTGAATAGAAATACCTAAAGGTGTTTGTCTTTGTTATAGAACTTAAGCCAATTACATAGTCTAATATTAAATTATTTTCTTTTTTTAACGGGTCAATTTTCAAAATAATTAAAATTAATGTGTTAAATTTGACAGCATTTGACGCCAGGCATTTTTTTGTAGGTAGCAGCTGCCACCCCATACCCACACTTTAGATCTGCTCCTGACCTTAAAGATCCCTTCCAGACATGTTTTTAAGAAATATGAAGTTCTGTTCTTTGAATAAGAATTTGTTTGTTTATGTTTTTTCCACAAAGAAGAGTGAAATTACCTTGTTAATATGTCTTTAAAATGTCTTAATAATTACATCTACTCATTTCTTATTTAAAAGTCCAGAATATTACAAAAAACATTTTAAAAGTTTCTGGACACAAGGTGTATTCTACTTCACTGAAAAGTTCTGTTTTAGTGTATTTTCACTGCGGGTTGGAGTTTCCACATTGCACTTATGTAAGCTGCATAATGGACGAGCACAGACAAACTTTCCCTCTTTACCAGATGAATGTGAAAACAGATTTCTAGTGTCAAACTAGACATTCATGCACAGTGAAGGTCAAGCATCCAAGTTAAGTAACAATATAGGCAAAACACTTTTTGAGTGCAGGGGGACTTTGAAGATGCACTGTGGTATTCATTACAGTAGAATACTGTGGATCTGTTCTCAGTGATAATACAGTTGTGATTTTTCTTTGATGGAAGTAACTTGAGTCGTGACTGCACATAGATGCTGTGGGCAAATGGGGAATGTACGGTATTTAGACCCATATTACTATAAAGAAGAGGGGATTAGAATGGGTGTATTGTGATCAAAATTGCTTGTTTGAATTGCTGTCTGACACTCAGGTCACCCAGGGGCCACCCTGCTAATTGTTTTCCTTAATTAAAGCAAAACAAAGTGAAGCAGTGCTGTGATGGAAGGGCTCTGTCACTGGCTGCGGGCAGCACAAACATACACACACACACACACACACACACACACACACACACACACACACTACACCTTCATTTTTGTTATAGTTAATAAATCTCGCTATTATCCTTCTTTGCTTTACCGTTTTGCGACCAAGGGTGCACACGAGTTCTATTTTCAGTTGCGTATACATTCACACAAATGTTATGTCTGCATGTCATTTGTTGAAGTGCGTTCCATATTTGCCCCACCATCTCCCATCAATGGGTTTGGTTGGCAAACAGGGGCATAACATTGTCCTCTGGTAAACAATATGTTCTCGAACGATTTCATGATCTGCTTAATTATGCTTCTTGATTGTGATAAAAACGTTTTGCTGCATGTAACTAAAGGAATACAAGGAAAATGTTTATGAAAGTATAGATAATCCTTGTTTTAAATATATGTGGATTTAAGAAGCTGTAAAGGCTTCTGGTAATTGTATTTTCTTATATAATATTTAAGCCTTCCTATAAGCGCCTGGCACAGTTTGTTTGTTCATCTCTTTCATCCACAGGACTCATTCTCCCTGTTTTCAAAGAAATGCTATTTATATATTTATGAAGAAATCACTTTATTGCACAGCAGCCATTTTGAGCAATCACAGGTGTTGCCAATGACACTAATTAAGTTATTTAGTTCCATTTAGTGTAGCCAGCATGCACAATAGCAGCACCCTGACTCTGTTTGACCTGAATGGAACAGAACCTTAATTAGTATCATGGGTAATACCTGCGTTTACCCTACTATCTATCGTGTCAAAATGGCTGAAAAGGGTCTATAATGTTTATCTTACCGTAAACTGCATCACTGATAATGTTGTACAAGCCCAGCATGTTTACCTCCATTTACTCTAATAAAAACCCTTAACACCACATACAAGAATAAATCAAATCTTCTACGTGTCATAAACATCAATGCAGAGTTACATGGCAACAAAGGGATACATGTTATTGGTATTTTTTTAAATTAAATTAATTTAATTAAGTAATGCTGTGTACAGAATACAAACATATCTTTCAGTACACTGTATGTATTCTATTTGACGATTTTGACAACAGCATACAGCACATCCTTCTCTCTTTGATCAAAATCACTGGGTGACAGCAACCTACAAGGACTTAGACTATAGTGGATAACATGGTGCAGTGACTCAGTGGATGGTATTGTGAGGTGTGATTTCACCATTAGGCAGCCCACATTAAAGCTATGTCGTATTATCTGCCTGTCTGGCATGCTAGCTATAGATCAGTCAGCTATAATTGGCTGCTCTGTGGAAACCATTGTGTCCTTTTTTTGAGTCTCAGCCTTTGTGTCCTTCAAAAGAAAGACAAAAAGAAAAAAGGGAGAGAGAGAGAGCCAGACAGATAATGCCAGAGCAAGTGAGTTAGAGACAGCATTTGGATTTATTTTTACACCATCTTCTGTCCTCTGTTTTTCACTTTCAATTTCAATCATTTCCACTAAGTTTAAATTTGATTGTTTCTATTGTCATTTGAATACAAACAATATAGAATACTCTTATATACGTCTCTCTTTTTGCACAACAGGTGCTCTACTCTTCAGATAGTCAAGAAACATTTTGGAAATTAGTTGCAGAAATATATTGCGGGCTATTTTTTTTCGTGGGTGGTTTTGCTGCTATTGTGGAATCTACTTATTGCTCCTCTATTGCGAGCCATTCCATGAAACAGATGTCAGATCTAATGCCATCACTTACTCGCTTGCACTTCAGAGTTCTATGAATAGAATACGTGAACGCCCATGACCAAGCTTCGACTGCTTGATGTTGAGGTGATCAAGTCCACATACTTAACTTAAGAGGATGTACAAAATATGAAACATTCAGCTGCTTTATGCCTCCAGTTTCTTCCATTTCATCTTTACTTAACCCTCTCACTGCACCTACGCCCATCATATCCACATGAGATCTATGAAGGCGCACCCTGCAGTGCAATCTTCGCAAAGGCAGATTGACCCACTTAAAGCTTATGCGTAACCAAGGACTGCTGTATGTAATTTCAATTATTAATTTATAATGTGTTTACAGAATGCCAGGCCTCTTTCTGGAGATCATTAACATTATGTGCTTCTGAGACTGCTTGGGCTGAGCACATTTCCAGGGAAGTAAAGCCTTCTCACACCTTGGGAGTACCTTGAGGACTGATATACACTCAAGAAATGAGCGTCTGGTCCCTTCAACCCATAAGCAATATGCTTTGAGTCACATCTTCAGTCACTAAAGAGGAGAGATGTGCCTCAGTTCAATAATTGAGGCCATTCTTTCAACTGATTAAATGGTTTACCTTTTCTCCAACAAAAACCTCTTGTTCTCGTGTCACTTCCAACATCACCTCCTTAAACTGTCTCACCACCTCCACTCAGTCAACCCTTTAGTTTATGTCCCATTCCTGGTTTTGTACATTATGAGTTTGTCTGTGAATAATATGTGCTATAAGGGCTTCCATCCTGTTTCCCAGCAAATCCTCTCACATCAAACCCTCTCTAATCAACATTTCCTATTCAGGTCATATCCATATGCAGAATTCATTAAGCCAACTGTCAAACCAATCAGTCAACTATAGGGACTGTTTTTATGATGAAGTGACTTGCTGTGTTAGTAAGTGCGTCTTAAGCAAATGCTCACTGAGTCACTAAAAACCCCTTAAAAGCTCTCTTAATCAGTCATCCACCTGAACTACTGTGACATACTACCTGCTGAGCTGCAGACTATGCTAGCAAAATGCTAACTCAAATGATTATTAGGGTTTGGGTCTGCAGTTCCCTTTGTAGGTTTGATAGTCTTTTTCCTCCTTGGTGGCTTAACCAGCTGTGTGTCTTTTTGGGATCCAACAAATATTAAATCTGTGTTCACATAAACATTCTGTAGTTACAAGCTTTTTAGCCCACTCTTACTGTAGTGTTGAGATGTCAGCTATTAAACAAGCAGTAGAAACTAATTGGTGGGAGAAGCGCTGTATTTCGATAGTCGGACAGAATTGCTATTTTGTTTCACTTCATTGGTGCAAAATGAATATGAATTGCTGAACAAACTGCGGATGTGGGCAGCAGTTCAGAAGTCAGGAGCAGGCTGATAGCTTTTCTCATGCAGTCAGTGGTTCAAGTTATCAAAGTATACACTATTCTTTTATTGTTACAGGCTCTACAGAAACCCTGAACATGGTTGTGATTGTTGCACCGCCTCAGAATGCAACAGTCGTGCTCGGCCGTTCTGCTGTGATGGAGTGTATGGCACAAGGCCAGCCGAAGCCACTGGTGTCCTGGAGTAGACAAGGTAACACTTGGAAATGCTCACACTCGCTTGTTTCTGTCTGTGGCTTTCATCCTGTATGTTTTTCTTTTTTACTGCATCTGTCGCACTTTCATTACCCGTGTCTCGGTCTCTAACTATCCGTCTCTCACCAACAAAGAGCAAGCATCAACACGTCAGGATCAGATTTGCGTACCTGTAGCTGTAAAGTTGTTTCACTGATAAAAAGCTGTCTCGTCTACTCTTCTGTTGTTCTATTGTGCACTGACTCAGGGTTTACATAAGATGACTTGTCACATTGATTAATTCACACCTCCGCAGCTTTGCTGCACACACACAAACACACATACACTTTCCTTTGTGCTGTGATTTGGGTAATGCCATTCGGTGCTAAATTAATAACCATATCTTTCACTTCTTTCTATGTGGCACTGTGAGATAATTCACTGTGCAGGTGATGATCAGTGTCTGTAGAGAATCTGACAAAAGTACATAATGGCGGACAAATACAGAATTATTTTACACACAGCTTAAGGGTGTGCTAATGCAGGCCCCTCAGTGAACTCACACTGAAAAGTCACAGAGCCACCTGTTGGTCAGCTTGTGGGATTACAGGTCAGCTCCCCTGCTGCTCAAAGTGCATCCTCCGTATCCTGTGCTGTTTCTCTGGCAACTGCCTTAGAAATTATCTCCCCTTTTCTCAATGCAAATCTATTTTTTCCATCTGTATGATCTGGGACTGTCCTGTTGTTCTTTGTTTCTTTCTTCTTTGATCAGATGGAAAACCCATTTCCACCGATGTGGTCGTCCTCGCAACAAACCTGGTGATTAGGGACACGAGGCGTCACCATGCCGGCGTCTATGTCTGCCGGGCCAACAAGCCCAAGACCAGAGAATTTGTAATTGCTGCTGCTGAGCTGCATGTGCCTGGTAGGAATCAGTTATGTACTGTATAAAATGAATGATTTGACTTTTCTGAGAGCTTTTTCATTGATACTAGTTTCTGTCACCAGCTACCCTTTAAGTTCCCTAGTAATTGAAGGTCTGAAAGGAATAATAATTAAAAACAAATTTTGTTCTTAATTACATAATTTCTATTTATGCTTTCTAATAAAGGCGTACAAGTCCCCCAAAAAATAAAGTAGCATGATATGGAGAGGTAAAAAGAAACCGAGATCAATAGAAGTGTTGGCCTTTACCAACATCACTTTTCCCTATGTTGGTAGATTGGGAGGAGGAGGACGAAGGATGATTATTAAATTAGACCTTAACTATACTCTTTAAAAATCATTTCTTTCTATGATGTTGCTCTGCTAGCTACTACAAACCACAAGCTAACGTTTAAAGGATAACTTTGGTATTTTTCAACCTGGACCTTATTTTATCATGTTTTTGTGTCAAAGTGAGTAATGGGGACAAGAAGAGAAGTTTTGAGAGCGCTGCAGACTACAGCCACAAAACGGGCTAAATGTGTCAATATGGAAAATGTAATGTTTACTGTACCTTTATCTGTGGAACCTTCTCTGTGGGAATAGGGACACAGCACCCACAGGAACACCACCAGTCTCCTGAGTAATTTCCACTCCACGGGATGCTACATTTTTAAGGTTGAGGTTTTATCTTTTAGAAATTAACCTGAATAGATGATAGAGTTCTGTCTAAAATAAAAAATCTCCTTGTTTAAAGGGGAAATCCATCTGTTTTACAGGTCAATTTATGAGTCAAATAATACAACTGTGAGAACAGTTTTATGTCTTCTATGGCTCTTTGTAAAGTCTGAGAAAATACCTCAAGTGAAATCACCAGTAAGTCTTTGTTACAAACTGGGTGGTGTGGAAAGATGTGGACCTTTCCTTTGTGAATCTGTCTCTTCTAACCCCCCAACTGTATAGAAGTGCACAACTACATCTTTGGAGTGTCATTTTTAATTTTATAGTGAACATATCCCCTGTGTCCCCTGTAAGTCAGAGCTTTGTTTCCTCCTTCCAAACAGCCCCTCCAGTGATTCTCCAACCCCCAGAGACAGCGTCCCTGTCCCGGGGAAACACAGCCAGGTTTGTGTGCAACAGCTCTGGGGAGCCTCCTCCAGTTTTGCACTGGCTGAAGAACGGCCAGCCCATTAAGTCCTTCAGACGGGTGAAGAGCCAAAGCCCTGGAGTCCTGCTCATCAACCAGCTGGCACTGGAGGATGCAGGCTACTACCAGTGCATAGCAGACAATGGACTGGGCACAGCCTGTGCTACTGCCAAGCTGACTGTCATTGTGAGGGAAGGTCTGCCCAGCCCTCCTCGCCACTTGTCTGCCACACCCTACTCCAGCACGACTGCCCTGCTTACCTGGGAGAAACCTGAGTACAACTCGGACCAAATCATTGGCTACTCTGTGCACTGCCAACGCGCCGCAGGTTCGTGTGTGTGTGTGTGTGTGTGTGTGTGTGTGTGTGTGTGTGTGTGTGTGGGTGTGGGTGTGTGCATGTCCACATTTTACAAAAAAACATTTTTGAGTTGAATATTTGCATCATTTTCAGGCTCAGATAATGTGGAGTACCAGTTTGCAATGAACAACGACACCACAGAGTATCACGTCAAAGAGCTTCTCCCCCATACTGCCTACACATTCTTTGTGGTGGCTTACTCTCCCATGGGTGCCAGTCGCCCATCCCTGCCTGTTACTGTAGAGATGCTGGAGGACGGTGAGTAATAAAACTAATACACAGGTAAAATAAGGCCTGCCTTGGATGCTTCACTGACTCACAGAGAAAATATTATTTGCTTGCCAACTTTGTAAGCCAAACTTTTAAGAGCTCATGAATCATGAATAGCATCCGTTCATGAAGTTTCAGCTTATGTAGTCATTTGAAAAGTGGTATTAGTAGCTCACTGGGACAAAAGAGCATTTTTTGCTGTAAAATTGTATTGACATTTGATGTTCTATTTTATTTTAGAATCACCACATCTATGGTCCATCAGTCCTTGGGCAATTATTTAAGAAAATTAATGGACACTTATTTGATGAACACTTTTAAAGGTTTAAATACAGTTCAGCATGTCCTTTTATTCTCTTCCTGCAGTGCCGAGTGCACCTCCTCAGCTGTCTATAGCCAGCACCTCCCCCACAGACATCAGGCTGATGTGGCATCCATTGTCCTCGCAGCACAGTCGAGGAGCTGTCACTCGCTACCGCATTGAGTACAGCACCCTGGATCAGGGTGGGTGACCCCTACTGGTTGTCCTTAAACTCCAGTGAAAGCACACTGAGTATAATTCAGGAGATTTACCCATCTTGGTTTGATATAAGTTGATTTCACATGAGTTATTCATAGACAAGGATACGTTTTATGAAGTCTACTTTATGAAATGTTTCTGTTCTGTCTCTGAAGAATATTTCATAATGACTGATGGAATGAGTGCAGAAGGTCAGAGATGTATATGATAGGCTTAAGAATATTGAGACAATGCAAGTGTTCTTCAAAATCATTTGTCCTGAATACCCAGCTCTCCAGAATGTACCAGGAGATAAAGTTCACTCTGAATGAAACATGAACTGAAGAAACGGTTTGTATGTTTTGCCCTTTATATATAGATTTGTGAGTGTGTGCATATTGTGTGTTTCCACAGTCGAAAGTGTGTTCTCAGTTGAAGTCTGGGGTAATGAGACTCAATTCACGCTAAGAGAGCTGCAGCCCAACCAGGCCTACCGACTGAGGATTGCAGCTGGAACGGCCGTTGGTTTTGGGGTTCCTTCTGAGTGGGCCCAGCACCAAACATTAGCCCACTACAACCACAGTGACCACAGCATGGGTAAGGAGGACCTGGCTCTCTTAATGGTTAATTGTTTTGCTTTGTCACTAGTGTTGCTGTGACATTTTTGGAATTACATTGGATTTTGAGAGTTATAATCTATACAGGGAATGTAACATCTCACTAAGAGACACTTTGTAGGCATATTACATACAATAGGCTAATGGTAATTTATAATGTGAAGTGATTTGTGAAATATTGTGGAACCTCCTAATAAATGAGCCACGCTGAATTTTGAAATAACAGTATCAAGAGAATAATTAGGTTGTTTTCTCATTAGTGTCTGTAAAAAATTAGAGGTAGGCCGATCTATCCCAAAATATTGATATTACAGATACTACGTCTCATTTTTGAAGATCAATTCTAGTGTCAGTAGGTTTGACACCATAAAGGGACCAGTTTTTCTCTTATATGTTGTACCCATTTGTATTTCATCACAGAGGAGGAGGTCTGTGTAAACATACTCTTTTCTTCTCCACTGCTGTTGCCGTGTTGTTTGTGTGCAGTGCATTCATGTAGGCACCCTGACTGACGCAGACACGCATAAAGAAATCAAAGTATCATTTTGAGTTATTTGACAGCTGTGAATGAAAATGCTGTGAACTGCGGTGTGTGTTGGAAGGCTTTCAGGGTCAACAAACCAGTGCTCTAAGGGAAGGAAAGAAGAATGGTTGAGAGTTGTTTGTGCTTTTGTTCAGTATTAAAGATTAACTTTTCTCCACAAATGAATGTTTTCACTTTGTTTATTCGTTTACAAATTCAATTTAAAATAATAAAAAAATATTTTACTGTGTTTTAACATGCATGTTAACTATTAATGAATTAATAGTTAATTAATTAACAGTGAAAAGCAAACAAAATGGCTTAATTCATTTATGGAGCACTTTCAAAGTGCTCCATAAAGTAATTTACATGAAATTACTTTTATGAAAATGCAGTTTAAACTTTACCACAAGACACAAAGACATAAGGCTCTAGTGCTGTATGGACAGTAAACTCCAGTGCAGTCAAGTCTTTCCAATTTGTACTTGTCTAGTTTGCTTTCTAAACAAATCTTTCCAGCCGTACTTCAACCAAGCTGATCAATAAACCATATAATGCAGTCAAACTCATATTGTGTGTTTCCACCAAATGTGAAGCCAATACTGGCCTCACGTTCCCCTTACTCAGGAGATAATTTGTATTTACTCGCAAACATTCGCCCTTTAATCTGTCTTACAACGGTGTTATGAGCCTAAAATAAACCGTTTTTGCCGCGATTTAATGTCAATAAACGGAACAAAATAATTATCTTACAAACGATAATTATAATTATCATACAAATGATAGTTGTCATTTGTAAAAAGTCTGAAGAAAAGCTTGCAGTTGCGTTCTTTGCTCTTCTTTCAGTTAAGAAATACTGCCAGCATCTACGCTAACCTCTTTAGCAGCTGCCATTGTTGTTTTCGAGCAGTCACTACTCACACACGTCGTCACACCACACCTGTAGCTCATGCCGTAGCTGCCAGTAGTTTCTCGTGGGATGCTGAGTGGTGCGAACCACTGTGATTAGACACAAGCACATAGATTGAAGCCTGGCAAGATGGAATCCAACTGCCTCACAATTTCTTTTTGTTTTCAGTGATATTCGCCCCTACTGAGCTGAAAGTCAGAGCCAGAGTGAACACACTCAATGTGACGTGGCATCCCTCACCCAATCACACACTGGTCTCTGGCTACAAGCTCTCCTGTCGAGAGGTTGAAACTGACAAATCAGCCGCTGGAGAAAGGACAACACAGACCCACACCATCAGGCTCCGTAAGAAGGCCAGGTATCATCTCCTCACCGGGCTGGGTAAGTTGTTGAGACAAGCCTCTTCAAATGGAATGTGCGTTCAGTGTGTTTTTCTATCCTTACATATAGCTACCTAAATATTGAATCAAATGAGGTCCCACTTTGCTTTAGAAAAATGTTTGATAAAATTAAGTACGCTATTTTAGACTTCTAGTATACTCAGCTTTTGGACAATATTGTTCATGAGCGAGATAAGTGTTGTTTTACCGGTGTGTCCTTGCCAGACGAGTGTTGCATTTCACTCAGAGGCTGCTTTCACAAGCCCATATACTTTGGAAAAATAAGGAACAGAAATACACAGATACCCCCTGAAAAATAATGTTTCAGCTTTTCACTCAAAAGCTGTCTTGCAGGTTAAAAGCATTTGAATGCAGGTTGTAGCACAGTTGCCATTTGTGGTTTTCAGGATACAGGTACAGCATCTAGAGGGACAATAAATGGATTAACTGCAATTAGACTACATCTAGGGCCTAATATCAATACTTATATGCTTTGTGAGAGGCTGCCTGGGTTTTTACTCACTGTATGTTTGTGTGTCCCTGACCGGCAGTCCCTGACCGGCAGTATGAGGTGAGGGTTTGGGCATTCAACAAGCAGATAGATGGAGCAGCTGTTGTGTGGAAGGGAAGGACTGACAAAGCCCACGACAAAAGTAAGATTTCTCTTTGTATGTGTGCTTGTATATATTATATTTTTCTATTTTTTATTAGTTTTTATTTCTATTTTGTAATTTTTAGTTTAGTGTCAGTTTCCAGATTGTTTCCTCGTTTCAGTTTAGTTTATATTGTTTAAAAATGTTTAGTTTTAGTTTTTATTAGTTTCAGTATTAATTCTTTTTATTATAATATGGGGGGTATTTGTCAAGACTTAAGAAGTTCAGAATAGGTATTACAAACACCTCGACTCACAGTCCCAGTCTCAATGAACAGATGCCCCAGTGCCTCCTCATGCTTGTTGTGTTAGAATGAGGATTTTATTAGGATCTCCATTAGCCGATGCAGATCAGCTTCTCTTTCTGCGGTTCACAAACGTGGACAAATTTAAACAAACTGACAAAGACTAAACCTAAAGACATTTCCTGTATACTTTTATTTCATTTTAGTTCATTTTGTAACACAGAATCGTTTTTTTAGTTTTTAGTTTAAAATTAGTTCATATAATGAATGAATGTCTTGATATATTAAAATAATGTTTGTATGTCTGTGTGTGTGTGTGTGTGTGTGTGTGTGTGTGTGTGTGTGTGTGTGTGTGTGTGTGTGTGTGTTAAAGCAGTGTTAGTGCCCATGCCCCCTCCTTTGCCCCCAAGCAGCATCCGAGCCATGGCCAATAGCTCCACCTCCATCTGGCTGCGCTGGGAGAAACCACGGTTCAGCAACGTACGGATCATCAACTACACAGTGCGCTGCAGCCCAGCAGGAACCACCAACGCCTCCCTGGTCTCCTATCACACCAGGTCGGAAATCATGTCTGTAATGTTTAAGATATACTGGCCCTGGATATCTCAAACTCTATCACTATAGTTTAAGATTACGTCCCAAAGCCCATTTTAATAGTGTTCAGTGTACCCAAACCTAAACTGTGATGAAATGAACACCTTTAGAATTAGCATGATATTATTTATTTACCTTGCTTTTAGGTGACACGCTGTGTCGCCTCTAAGAGTGACTTGCCTCTGCATTTCTCTACATAAAAAATAGTTTTTTTGGTCGAACACCAATCAAACCAATGCATTTCACTTGTGTGATTTCTATATTATTTTAAGTAGCTCTGAGTAACTCCATTGTTAACCATCATCTATACAATAAAAAAGCACATAATGTCCTTGCATTGACTTAACTACTACATTAAGTCAAAAAAGATATGCCCCTCCTGTCCTCTCCTTTCTATCATATTTATGATATCAAGAATCGACTCAAATATGGAGTTGTTGGGCTAAAGAGGTGCATACTTGCAAGCAACAGTAAATAATTGGTCAAGCAGAAGGCAGGTAATAAGAGTTAACAATATAAACGTAATATATTATCCCCTTGAGTGGTCCAACCAAATTAAGCAGTCATTTTTTTCCTGTCAGCGCAGAATAGAAAACAAACACCACACACTCAGGACTTACCCTGTGTTTGTGTGTTGCAGCTCTGCTCAGGAGATACTGCTCGGGGCGTTGAAGCCCTTCACCCGCTATGAGCTGGCGGTGCAGTCTAATGGAGTGGACGTGGTGGGACCCTTCAGCGGCACAGTGGAGGAGTCTACTCTGTCTGACCGTGAGTCTCTACTGTGCTCCTATCAGTGCAGTCAGTTAAGTCCCTGAAGAGTTCCCTATAGTTTTTTGTGCACGTCAAGTATTTTTTAACTCAGTTGATATTGATGAATGAAAATGCTCCTTTCCCTTACAACCTTTGCAGTGCCCTTGAGCAAGTCACTTAACCTAAGCTGCTCAAGGGGAACTACAATATGCCAAAAATAGAGGAGTGTAGGTATACTGGGCAGCTGCAGCACAAGCTGTAGATATGTGTAAACGTGTTGGAATATATGTTTCTGGAAGAGGACGAGGAGGATGCAGGGTCAGTGAACAATTTCTGTATTAACAAAGGTTAAAGAAAAAGTTCAAACTTAAATTTTAGGGTACTGCTAATTTAAATTTCACTCAGCCCAAAATACAGTTCTAAGAGAACTTTACCCTGTTAGATTTACGGTTGGTCAGCTCTATGTCACCCATTTTAATAAAAAAAACATATTACCTCTTGTCTCTTATAAATAATTGATTTAATCTTGTTTTTGAAGTGCAAGAGCCTGCAAACGCTGTAAAATGTGCCTGTGTATGCGAGTGGGTGCGTACTCACTCATGTGTGGATCAGTGTGTTGGCTGGCCAGTGGCCAGTGGACATGGGAATTACTGGTTGGCACTGATGGCTGATAACTGGCCGTAATGAAATACCCAGGTGTAGCAGTGGCTCTCACGTTGGCCAGCAGCTCTTGTCTTTCAGCCAAATAAGGGTGGTGAGTGGAGAGTGGGCTGCTTTTAAAGACATTATTATCACCAGTTACGCAGTCTCGCTCTCCGCTGCCATGTGTCATCACCTGAGGCCCAACCCATTCCCCCATTGCCCTGCTTGTCCCCTCTCTCCTGTACCCAGGTGGCGCGGACACAAGGACGCAGATGGTCGTCACATAACATGTCAAATCCCCTACCAAGACAATATACATTCTGCAGCTGTGAGGCCCCCATTCTGGGCTCTAATTACTGACCCAGTCCTCCTCTCTCCTTCAGGGCCCTCCACACCTCCGGAGGAGCTGCAGCTGAGCGCTCTGGACTCCTCCACTGTGCTGGTGAGCTGGCGCCCTCCACTGGAGCCTAACGGTATCATCATCAGCTACAGGATCTTGTACAGTGGCAACCTCAGCCAGCCAGAGCACCTGTGGGAAAACCTCTCTCGGGATGGTGGGTGCTGTCTGGAAGGACCTCCTCACTGCGCTGAAAACATTTAATTTATTTAGTTCAAGTTCAGCGTACCCCTTTATCTTTATAATCCTTTTTTCAAGATATTTAGTAAAATTTCAGGCTTGAGTGAAACTGTGATTAAAATGGGCCTGCACAGTGTTTTTCATTGAGTCTCTCTGTCTTCCTCAGGGAGTATTACCAGTGTGGAGGTCCAAGGTTTGTCCAGTGGCACACGTTACTTTTTTAAGTTGGGTGCATCTACTGAGCTGGGGCAGGGGCCCTATTCACCTGTAAAGGATGTTCACACCCCCCTTCCAAAATATGGTAAGTCTCATATAGCACATACATAGGTGACAATAATAACAAGAAAATAAATAATTTGTTTTTAGAACACAGCAAGGTTGTGGTAGTAGTAGTAGCAGAGAGGTCAATATGCAATATTTTCAGTAAACTGTTACTGTGGAAAGGTTTGTCAATTACTCAGCTTTATTTAAAATAGAAGTACAGATTTAGGACATTTCAAAGAGGATAATTCAAACCACATACATTCAGATAAATTGGTTTTAAAAGTCAAATAATTCAGCATTAAATATTCAGTAGTGGTTAAATGTCACAATATTTGAGCTATTGAGTCATTCTAAGACTCAAAATATTACAGCCATTTTTGCTTCCTTAAGCAGAAACACACAAGCGCATGCACTTTGCAGTCACACACATAAGCACACATAAACACATTTTCACACAGACACACACACACACACACACACACACACACAGCCTTCCCTATTAAAGTGTGTAATTTGTCCCTGCCAGCAGGGAAAGTGTAGCTCGGTAGGACGCTGTTATTTCGCTTTTCCTATTCTGGTGCATTTTGAGGATAATATTCAAGTGTGGACATCAAAGGGGTGGCCTCATCAGCGACCCCCAGGGGAGAGCTTTGAATTACTGCTCTCTGTACGCAGCAGAATTGCTGAGAGAAGCACTTTCTTTACTCTCATGTCACTTTGTATTTAAGCATGCAATCTCATTATACACTTTTAATTCCATCAGTCAGCATTTTAGCTTTACCTGTAATTATTAAATTCCCCCTTTGTCTTTAAACAGAGGGAGTCATAAATACAGAGCTATTAACTCCCCTGTGAATTATCATCCAACATGCCCGTCAAACCCATTGTCCATTAAGGCAGTCCAACAATGAAAATAGTCATCCACCAACCAAAAGCACATATATGCACAGTACTTTTTCCCCTTTACCTGCCTAAGTGCATAATTGGTGGGAAGTGATTAATCATTAATCTTCCAGATGCAATAAGCTGTGAGAATGCAGTTTTGTTTTTGGTTTTTGGTTTTACACAAATACTTAATAAAAAGACAGAGTAACAGGTTTATTTTGTTCACATAAGCTGCAATAATGTGCCAGTATGCAGTGTGAATGGGACTGGGTGGGTGGCTGGTGGGTGGGTGAGAGCTCCTGCCATCTGTTTCCTCTCCTCTGTATGTCCAGCCTGCCAAAGATACCCAGCATAAATGAATATCAATGAAGGTCTGCTCTCCCTAGTTGAATGTTGCCTCATATCTCCTCACTACTGTTACTTTGTCTTCAATGAAGGAATCAATACATTCTCACAGTCTCTTTATACAGGCCTGAGCCAAATAGTATTTCAAGCCTGATGTGTTATTATAATGCTTTTATTTTTTAAGTGAAGTTGTAGATATGAGCCAAAAATATATACTGGCAATAGATGAACTATGAAAACCAATGTGGCATATATTCATGGGGATGGCAACATTTCTGACATGTTTAATGTTGGCTATTTTTACAGAGCTGGACATCCATGCTGTGATAGGCATCATTGTCGGCGTGTGCCTGGGACTGATAGGCATCCTCCTCTGCATGTGTTTCAGCTTTCGCAATGGCAAATCTAGGTAAGGTAACTCTACAGTGCCAGTACTCGTACAGTAGGTAATGCACATCTGACTTCTTCTACTTACTTGGAGCTTACTTGGTTGTCTTACAAACAAGAAGCCAGCTAAATCAACCCAGGTAACTGTATATTAATGTTCAGTCTTCCATAGTGCCCAACTCCTATACTATCCCTCTTATCTCTGCTCCAAATAGGGAGGTGTCTGGGGGCCTGGACACAGCTGTGACCCCTCAGTACAGGAGAGGAAGCAGCCCGGTTCCCTCCAACGTGCCAGAGTGCAGTGATAGCCATGAGCTGGAGACACTGATGCCTCCAGCCAGCCAAGAGTCTGGTCAGCCGCTAGAAGAGGCCTCGGAGGAGCAGAGCCTGATGGCAAGTGCTAATCCAGGGGAGGGGGATGATGCCCCTGCACCTGAACCCAAGGTCAAAACCTGCATGGGGGAGCTCTTTCCCAGATGTGCCTTGGACGCTCTATTATTTTTTCACATGTTGAGAGAGGGATAATAGTAATTTTGGTGCATCCACTGTGTTGTTATTCTTGCAGGCTGCTTGGAATGGCTCTGTGAGTCATAACTGGGCCAACAGAATCACTAGATACAGAGACACCATAACAGAAGAATCTCCAACACTCATTAATGGAGCTCTCAACATGCTAATTACTGATAACGGCACGGTAAATGAACGTACTGAATTCAATAACTCATCTATTTTAGCTATCAACCTGTGTCCAATAAGCAACTATAGCTTCAACATCACTGGGTCAGATGGCTTTTCTCATGTTTGCTAAACGCCCCCCTTAGTTACTGTATACCATGATATTGGGGAAGATTTACTAATAATTGTGATCATTGCTGATATGTGTTCATCATGCTCTGTGGATGTGTACTTTGCTATTTTAGACTGCCCACTGTACATATACATAACCAAATGTTTGAGTTACTTGGGTAGATAAACTAATAGAACAACGTTAACTTAAGGTGATATTGTTTTGTTGCAGGACTTAGAAGATCGTCTGTGTACATCCCTGTGCAGTAACCAGGTCGAGGCAGAAGTCATTGTTCACTCAGAGCTGTCAGACCCCGGGAGGGAGAAAGAGGAGGAGGGCAGCGAAAGGGAGAAGGATTCTAACTCCACCAGAGGACCCTCATTATCAGAGGACAGATATTCCCCTATGAGCCAGCCAAGCCCACCAGGAGAGGAGGACACTCTAGAAAAACTATCACTGGCCCAAAGCCCCTTGAGTCTTCCCTCGATAGAGTTGGTGGCCAATCACAAGTGGGAGCTAGAAAGCATGGGAGACAAGCCAAACGCAGACTTAGAGCCACAGCAGGACACGGGGCTAACCAATGGTTTCCACTCCCCAAAGACGGTGCGCTCTGTGCTGAGGTCAGAGCATCTGGAGAATGGGGAATCCAGACATTGCCCTTCGGCACCAGGAAAGGCCATCTCTGCCGGGTTGTCCCCTGCCCCCTTTGTCAGCTCCGGCCTTGTCCACTCTACCTCAGCAGCACACAGTTACCTGTGCCCGTAGCCTCTGCATGTAGGGCATTGGTCCCTACACACACATACAGACATCAGACTGATTTTCTTTCTTTTAAGTACCCAGGAAAAATCCCAAGGATTATTTTTATGCACCTCATTATTGGATTCCTTTCTCTTCCTTACAAAGTTTTTATAGGTGTACTATGTACTTTGAATCCATTTCATACGTGTGTATATACAGTATATTTTTAGTGGTAGAGTATTGTATATGGGTATTCATTCTCTAGCATTGCAACCATATTTTCCTCTGGGTTTCTATCCTGACCTTTAGGAAAGAAAGATTTAACTTAACCAAGAAGATGGAAGTGGATTGAAGGAGGCTATTCCCACTGTGTCGCACATGGCTCTGTTCCACTCAGGAATGAGAAAGCCAGGAATGTTCTGTGAGTGAGTGAGTGAGACAGGCTATCTTTGTGGATGAGAGGATCGGAGGCGCAGCTCAGTGGGTCTCCATGGGCTTTGTCGTGTGGATGCTACTTCACCGAGTGGCACTGAGGAGTAAGCCTTAAAGAGTATCTGCACACTCTGAGAGTGCAGAACACCTGTGTCTCTCTCCAGCCTCCTGCTGTCTCAGGGTCCACACACACACACACACACACACACACACACACTGAAACACACACAGAAAGCTAAAGTACAGCTGATTCCATGGTATCTCACAGTCACCCATAAACACACATTTACGCACACACATTTCCTGACTGAAGTGTGGGGGTCTCAGGTGCCTAATTATTGTAGGTGCATTTATAACCTCTGTATATTTCTACAGTATAGATGATTATATTCAGTACAAATACAAAACAGATGTCACCATGAAGGAAAAACACTCAAAATGTAAAAAGATAAGGAGAACACAGATTTGGTACACATGAAGTATTCTTTTCTAAAATGCCATATATCCATGTGGTGTGATTTTGTAAACCAGGCCCTCTCAGTTGAAAAGTAAAAAGTGGTTTTGCTGTTATTCAGATGGTGGATATCTCATTTTGGAAACAAAGTATTTACATGTTAATGTTGGTATTGGTTAAATTTTGTTGGTGGGAGAACTAGAGGAGACACAACTCATCTGTAGACCACTCTTCTGGTTTGGCTCCCGTTTAGGGGTGCACCAATGTAAGCCTGTGCCATTAGTTGTCATTTTAAACTCAGTATAATATATTTTTTTTATGTGATTGCCATGTTTTTAATTCGAGGGAAATTCAACCTGACTCTACAAGCCTATCTGATTCCAGCTGTATGAGAAAACGTCCACTATGCTCAACTCTGCTACAGTACCAGAAACCAACATAAGCTGACTAGAAATGTCTGAATTTATCAGATAGGAAAGGATTTTGATGGGAAAAAATAAATAAATGTGCTCCAATTTTTTTACATTGACCCTAAACTGTTCAACGTATTCTTTATGTATTTGATCAGATTGCTTTTGCATAATTGACTGATATGTGCAGCTGAGTGAGTCAGTATTGGTTTTGGCAGTGTAAAAGGGGAACTGGTGCATCCCTACTCCTGATCAACAACACTACCTCATTTCTTTTCAGGATGGTTTCCAGTGTGGTTTTATTAGTTTTATGTAACTAGCAGCTTTTTATGATCTCTTTCTTAACTTGTCTGATTTTACAGCCTTTGGTATTTGCAGAAATAATCGTCCAACACTGACTGTACATTCTTGTGTTACTTCAAAGAAATGAATGTTGCTCTAGTACATTGCAGCTTCCTCTCTGATCTCTGAAAGATTGTGTCATTAATTTGTATATTACTGCTTAATCCTCACAGAAGAAAAAAACACACAGTGTCTTTGATATGAAGCACCTTAAACTAGGTCCAGCCAATTTCATCCAATTGCAGTTTTGGACCTGGTTCCAGTCAAACTACTGTAACTATAGACTAGGAAAGCGTCTACTGGAAACTTGTGCCACCTGCAGGCAATGAGTGTTACTGCTACATGTGTTCCCTTTTTTTTACAGGTTCTGTTTCAGTGTGTGGCTGATGTTGGATGTTGATGATATACATCTTTACAGCGCTGACCATTAAAGGAACGGAGAGCCGGAAAGTCCCAAATAGAAGAAGCTTTCCGAGCTTATTAGTTATTTTGCTGTAAAATCTGTTCCAAAACAGAGTAATTGGTTAGCAGACAGCTGTGAGAGAGGAGTCGAAGGTATGAAATTGTCTTTTGAATAAAGTGTGTGAACTAATTGTCCTGTTAGCCGCTGAGCTGAGCTAACACACTGTCTGTTAACAAGTATGTTAATGCGGTAAGCTTTATTGTCCCTCTACAGCAACTTTATTGATAAATCTGTATTTAGATTTGCAAATGTATTCAGATTTGTAAATGTGTAGACAAGTCTGTAAATGCGTACATAGTTTTTAAAATGTGTGGACAGATCTGTAAATGCAGACATCAATGGCTGAGGAGTATTTGCTTAAATAGCTGGAAATACACACAAGTCGTCGGTTACAACTCAGGACTTTCAGTAGGCTCTTTTTACATGTGGCTTTTGCTACACTTCTGTCGTGGCAGAGAACTGCAAATGCCTGTGGCAGTTTGTGTGTGTGAGGTGAGATCTGTGTGTGTGCCTCAGTAGCTGTACAGCCTACATACCACCAGTCGGTGGTGGCGTGACATTGCTGCTGATCGTTTTTTTAACCTACTTTAGATGAAACCAGTAAAATAGCGACATGGAGCAGTGAATTTGAAGAACTTACTGTTTACATATGAGTCAAGATTACTGATTACTGCACAGAGCTATGTTAATTGACTTTGGTGAAAGTGGATCATATTTTATATTATATTTTATATTTGTTCTCTGCCTCATCTCTAGGTCATTTTTTTTTACTGGTGGGCAGATAAAATTAGCTTTATTATTGCTAAAGAATGCTAGCTAGTTAACTGTAGCTAGCTGAGCACAGTGTGAACCCCCAGTGTCTCTGTCATCCCCAGAGCGACTGTAAATCAGCTATACTGTGTTCAGTGTTGTCAAACTGCCTCCATCAGGCTGTTTGGTCCTGGTCTATGTTCATTTTTCAAGCTACTGTAAGTTACTCATGCTTTCATCAGACAGGAGTGGGTGAGGTTAATGAGGCACACAGAGAAATCTCTCCTCACGCACAAATCGCCACGTGTTTTTGCCGATCTCTGCAGAAGTGTAGCAAAGGTCATGTGTAAAAAAGAGCCAGCTGAGAGTCCTGCCTGAGTTATAACCGATGAACTGTGTGTATTTCCAGCTCTTGGAGCAAATACTTAGACTCTCCATATTTAACATTAATATGTTTGTCCACACATTTTCTGATCTATATACATCTGCACATTTACAAATCTGATTACGGGCACACAGATTCTGAACACACATTCGCAGATTCCTGTACACATTCACAAATGTCAGTGCATTATCACAGATTATTTTACACATCTACAAACCTGATTATTGAGATACAGTTACAAAACTCTCCACTCACATTTAGAAATAGTTTTGCTAAAATAATGGCTCAATACAGCAGCTTTAACATTCTTTGCCTGTAGGAGGCATAATGGACATGTCTTTATTAACAAGATAGTTTGTGAGTAAGTTACAGGCTGGTTCCTTTAGGTGCTTCACATCAAAAAGACTATTTTAAGGACTTTTTTACTTATCACAAAACTCATTTCATTTAGAAAGAGCGAGGGATGGATGAGTGCGATATAAACTGTAGGTATCTGTGTGATTCTGAGACAATGGCAAGTTTGCCAATGTTGGGATCCATTAGTAATAATGATAATAATAATAAACAATAACATAATAATATCCACTTCAAAGATTGACAGAATTAAGCTGAGCATTGGGTCCAGCCCTGTTGTGTGATGTCTCATCTTCTCTCAGGTGGCTTTCTTTTAGTCATCCAGCAGTGAAAAGGACACCTCTTTTTCACTGCTGCACAAACCCATTCTATCCTTGTTTCTACTCATGTCCATGCAAGTGTCAAAATCTCACCAGCTCAACTCAATCACATCAGCAACAGAAATGTAAATGGTTGCTCATAATTGTGTTTTCTCTAAAACTTATATTGTTCTTGATTTCCTGAACGAAATGCATGGTTGTTACCTCAAAGAGACTTATTTTTTTAGCCTTGCCATGTATGTACTTTACTGCAATAGCAGTCATATAGGGACAGAAGTGAATGTGTTCTTTGCAAACCTGGGTCAGACAGTGATTGGAAGGTCTTTGTGGGGGGGGGTGTCAAAATTTCGATTTTACCACCTGTCTGTAACATCATTTTTTTATGAAATACCTTTTTATCAGACCTAAAATGCATGGCACTCACTGTACTGTGGCAAACCACATTTAAATGGTACATAAAGAGCAATTCAACAGCAAAATTACCTATGGAAGGAATGTGCTGCTGCACCTCTCAGCTCACCTATTTAAAGTGGCAACCATATTTTATTCCTGGCCGCACTGCAGCTAGTGATGTTGGAGGAGGTTTCCATCAGCTGTTAAAAGTAAAACACCTACTGTGACATCATTTGGGTGATAATTCAGATGTATAGAGAGCTGTGCAGCCGCAGCTTTCTGCCCTGTGGTTTGATGATCATTTGCCCTTTATATGCAGTGAGCTAAAGCAAACCACCAAAAGTATGTGTACGTGTGTATATTTTTTATCCAGGTTCTTTACTGATACTGTTTATATCGATACTGTTTTTCATCATCCTTAAAAGCCAGTAATGTCCTTAGTCTAGAAAGAAGCATAATATTCTCAAAAGCATTCCAGTTTGATATCGTGAACATACTTCTCTCAGTCCAGGTCAGACATGATTAGCCATGCTACCTTAAGAAGAGACGTGCTAAAACCCCAGACTGTGTTCCTGCTGCTCTGATAGGTTTCATCCAGACCTGGGTTCAGTTCCTCCATTCACTACACCAAGTGCAGGTACTGAAGCCTAAGCGGCAGAGTTTGCAAAACAGGTTGGACTATGACAAGTGGATGGAGGTCACTGAATCAGGGCCTGTAAGATAGTGTTTCAAGTAAGTTGTCATGGAGACAAAATTGACTTTCCAAACATTTTCTTTTGATTGTTTATATCTTAGGAGTATAAAGCTTGTGAAGTTGTCTGTCACCCAACATGGTCATTTTTATTATGAAACAAACAGCTGTTCACCCTTCTGTGTGAAAAAAGAAAAGTCTGTTGTCACTGCCGGAAAACCACAGCCATTTGGCAATCAAGTAGACTAACATAAAGTACAAAAAAATTGCTGTGGTGCTTTTCTGCCCAGGAAGTAAATTGTTTTCATCACTGCACCAATTTCTTCTGATGGACATTTAAAACATTTGGAAATAAATTGATTTGTGCCAGTGGGGTTTTTCAATTTTGGGAGGGTATTCTGTTTAGCAAAGACACTATCACATCTGTGATGCAGGAAGTGGAGTGAGTGACACTGCAGCTGCCAAAATCTAATGTAACATTTCAGCTAGACATTGAAATGGCACAGTTTAGATGGATTTTAGTAACATACGGTATTTAAAATTAAGGCCCCCCCACATGCAAATGTTTCAGTTCAATCACGCTGTGTTGCCTGTGTTTTAAGTCTTGATGCAGTAGTGGATTATTATGGTGTGTGTGGTGCTGACACAGATGATCTGAAAAGGGGGATTTGCATAAAACTTGCCTCCAGCATAAATAATCCTGCGCATGCTCTCCTTATAGAAGCTCTATTAACTGTTTTAACATTTTACATGTAACCTTTTGTTTCCATTTGTTCATCTTTTCATTGGCTAGAACATTCAGATTTGTTTAGAGGAAAATTACTCACCCTCATTACTTTGATAATCTTTTTTATTTCATCCTCCTCTGTAAGGGTTTAGTTAAACAGTATACCTCATGTTGGTAACTTGTTTATTTGATTCTGATCAGTTTCTTGATACTGCACATTTTGTATCAATTAGGACATATACAGATACGCATCCTGTTTTTTTGTGAGTCAAGTTTTTTTATGTAGAGAATGGGATTGACTGTTTTGTTTTACCTCAGTGGGAGTTTTTACTCATTACAGTGGCCTGGATGGTCTAGTCTAGTGGTGAGGGGGTAAACAAACGGGGGGAGGAGGGGTCAGTGGAAGTCATCTAAATTGACTTTTACATTGTTATTCTTCAACAGTAGTTATTACCTGCCATTTTCAAGAGTTTGAAGCATGGGTTCACCAAAATGGTACTCATGCTTCAAAGAGAAATCATATGAGAAAAAAGCAAAGATGTGTCTGCTTCTGATGAATAACAGTCTAACAGTCACTTTTCGGCAGAGTACCACTTTAACACAACCCAGGTAACTGAAGTAATGGGCAGGGAGAAGGGCTAAAGGGAAATCCTCCCCGGGCAGGTCATACCTCTCAATGCAGACAGCCATTTCAAAATAATTGTCTCTTCTATTCTCAGGTGCCGCATCTTTGCATAAAAATTGTAGAGGATCATGCCAGCATATCCAGCTCAGATACATGTCATTTGTTGTCAAACAAAGCCTCATTTTGTCCTTTTGGCAAGTAAATCAAGGAAAAACTTATGCATAGATGATATTTTGTTTTGTACAAATCATTCAGTGTATTTCTGTCTCTGGCTCTTCTCTGTACATTCTGGTGCTTTGTGGTGAGCTGCTTCGTCCAGTGATGTCACATGGTTGTGCATTATTTTGTACGTCTTCTTCCCTAGTTTTGTGTGTACCAGCTCAGCTGTGCTTCTCAGAATGTGTAAGCACAGACTCGGACTCTGTAGTCATGTGCCACCAGCGACGCTCTGCAGCTACTCAGACACGTTTGTAATCATTGTGTGCTGAACAAGGCCTCATCCATGTCAAAAGACGGTACTGTAGGAGCAAATTGTCGGAGCACTTATAAGATTAGCACTTGTTTTTGGGCCAGGAGCAACTTTGGACTGTCATCTTTACATTTCTAGAAGTGCAATTTTCTTAGTCTGTAAAATGACCGATGGATTACTCAGTGTTAGCCATGGTGACCGTAGCCATGATTTGTGATAGAATCATTGCTTGTTCAGAGGAATTGTCACAGGATAGGTAGTACTTGTGGTTTGTAGAAATATTTCCACTGTGTTACCATATGTGAAAATGTCAAAACTCACAGCTACTCTAAGATGTCTGTGGAAACTACTCTTCTGTAAATAAACATCAAAGAAAGGTGAAAGCATGGCTCAGTGTGATATTTTGAATCTTGCCCATTCTGTGCTTTCTTCGGCCTAACTTGCATATCACTTTAATTTTCTTTTCTATAACTTATAGCTTCAAAGATTTATCACTCAATTTAACTCCCTGTGTGACTGCTTTTCCTGGCATTTACGTTCCCAAAAATGACATTTAAGATGCCAGGGAGCTGAGCTTCTTGGGATATTTCTTGTCATATTCCAGTCATTATGACCTTTATATTATATCTCAGTGTATGATATATCGTGCTGTGCTTGTTTGCATTCACAGATTCAAATTTACATCTGTGGGAAGGGAATTCAAGAAGAGCCCTGCAGATGATTATTTCTTTATGTTAGCTTTTTAATATTTTGTTTACATTTATATGTATCTTCAATACCATTTATGCAACAGTTTAATATTTTGAGAAACAGGCTTATTAGCCAGGAAGGTGAATAAACATAATGCTCAAATGATCAGAGTAATTAGTTAAATTCTGTGATTTGTAGAGCCTTTCTGTGTTAACTGAGGCAAGAACTGTTACTCATCAGAAAGTGTTGTAGACTAAAAGGGATATTTTCTTAGAATTATTTAAGTTGCACACTTTCATACAGTGTATGAAATCACAGCAATAGGAGAAACTGAATGGAGTTACTTTGTTAAAGTGACTGCCCCAGTTACACTATACAGTTACAATAATTGCTTACACACAAAATATGACGTCTCTAAGGGCCCAGGCTACAGTTAAATAAATCCTGCATAGTAATAATGAGCCTCCCAGCTTCCCTTTGGGCACACACATCATCCAGGTAAAAGGCCCTCAGTTGCTCTGTGTCCCACCCTTTTCACTCCAGCATAGCCTTTGGGTAATAATCAGTCATATTTAAAGATGTCGTTCTTTTACTTACCACTGGGGGGCAGTGTGATCCTTCACAATGATTCCAGAAAAGAAGCATAGTAACCTGGTGCCACTCCCATTAACAGAGACTGCTGCCTGAGTGCTGGACCTCATGTGCTGCTCTGACCTCATACCTGCCTTGGTTTTATAATTGTGCAAATGTATGGCATCCTATATATTCATTTTATTACCTTCTCCAGCAGAGGAAGGGAAAAATGTAAGTAAAAAACACAACAAACTAATGTCTTCATCAGACTGATTTCCCCTCGAAAAACGAAATCCTAATGTCCTCAAATACAAAAGGTGTGAGAGATACGTGTGTGCGTGTACAAAAAATGCATATCGGCTTCTTGTCAGTCTGTGAATGCCTGTGTATGTGGTGTGTGTGTGCGTGTGTACGTGTGTGTGTGTGTGTGTGTGTGTGTGTATGCGCGTGCATACATGGTGGGTTGGGTAGGTGTATGTGTTCACAGGGGAGACAGACAGACAGGCTGACTGAAAGAAAAAAGACAAAGAGGGAGGTGATGGAGATAAGAGGGTGAGATGAGGGCGCAGAGTTAAGACAGGAGCACTGAGGCGACATCACATGGCAGAATCCCCTGAAGAGTCAGATAAAAGCCCTCGCTGAGCGACAGAGGGGTCGGGCTCACTATCTTCAGCCACTCATCACTGTTAATCAGCAGGCGAGGCTCCTCTGCAGAGGTCTGAGAGGGGACACATATGCACAAACCCACACAATATCAAACCCCCACGCAGAAGCACAAATACAAACACGCATGCATGCACTCTACTTTACTGTACTCGCCCGATGCATCTGTCTAAATGTGTATTGTTAGTGTTTACACTGTATTTCCATCCTCCAGCAGCTGAGTGGTCTGTGCTACTTCAGCATGCATCATATTTTACTGTAGAGGCAGGCGAGTGGAGCGCAGAGAGTCAGGTGAGGGCTGGGCTCTTGAGGTAGAGCTCACTGCCTGTGGGGAAATAACTGTGCAAAGCTCTTGATTCAGCCCATTCATTCTGCCTCTTCCCTCTCCTGCTACTACACTACTACATTCTCCACCTTCAGCATCAGCTCTGCTTGTTTCACAGCTGAACTGTATGTGCTCTCTGTCAGTTCAAAGCATACAGCAGAAGACCTCCTGGGCTGGCGAGTATTTGCAAATCATTCTTTGATGTGGTTGTGGAAAATGGAGGCTGTCCTATCCAGTTAGCCACAAAACATAAAACAAAGATCAGGAGCAGGACGCCCCCACAAAAGTAGTTCTTTTTGTACAAAATAAAAAGGACGTTTATTTATTTATAACATGATATTTCAACATGGTGGCCTTCCTTCACTTGATCCCAATGATGTCTTGTATCTTTATCACTGTATCATGAGCATCCAGTTAAACATTATCCTGACATTTCTACAACTGTCTTCCCTGCATTGTACTGTAAATATTGTCCTCTGTGTAGGTAAAAGTGTTACGTGCATTAGGTTTGATGCTAGTTTATTTATCTTTAGATATTGGCTGGTTCAATTTCAACCTCTCACGCTAAAAGCATTATATTGACCGCATTCCCTTTCCTTCGACTAATCCTGCTTTACATCTCCATATAAAAGCTGTTGGTGTTGTAGTGGGTGTACTTGTAGTTGACATGTGGTGATGACATCATGGTTACAGGTCTGGCACATGACCTTAGCTGAAGGTCATTTCATCTCAGCTGTCTTTCCGACTCCTGTCTTTAAAAAATACATCAATTCGTGTCCTATTCTTCTGTGCGGATGCTTGATATTTACGCCATTTCTTTCTCTCCATGTGAAAAGTTAAATAGTATTCTGATTTCACAACCACACACGTGGCTGTCGACATGCATGACCCTATTCCTGTGTATGTCAGCATCTACAGTACATGTGTGTCCGCTCACTTTCCCTGAATTCATCTGGTTATTCTATGGAATTACTATAAGAAGTAATGCTCCTTACAGATAAGTCTTTTATCAATGTCAGCCCTAATGCAGGTTATAACCTGCCAATCAAATATTCCCCAAACTAAACAGGCACAGCCTGAGGAGAAAGATAATGAAGGAGGATGGGATGGAAGATAAGTGAATGAAGTCAGGGAGAGGGGGATTTGAGAGGAGGAAGTCATCTGCTTTATTTGGACTACATATCTCTGGAATTATATTAAATCCTGTGTGCTTTACAATAAGCTTTAATATGCCCTATAAAGTAGCTGTAAAAGGTGAGCTCACAGGGGCATGGCTGGCAGAGAAACCAGGGGGCTGTCAGTAATGGCTGTGGACTGTTTGCCCTAGCTTCTTCTCTCCCCTGGGTTCTACGTGCCGCTCTTCATTCACTGTTGGGTGGACACAATAGGACCCCAGAGGAGGAGCAGCCTTAAAATTCACTCTATACCAATTTTCTATACTACAACCACAGGCAAAATGTTACACTTATTTGAAGCAAAGAAATCTTGGATCCTTGACTCCCTTCAGATAAGAAGATTCAGAAGATCGGATGTATTTTTTTTTTACAAAGATTTGAGTGCCAATGTAGGGTTAATAGGATCTATATGTTGTTTTTTTATATTTAGTTTTTACTTTTACCAGTCTTATCCTTCATTTTCTTCTCCTACTTGCAGCCCAAACCACGCAGGTCCATGGCTGATAAGGGGATGCCTTGTATCTAGTAATGGACTGACAGCATGCCTGTCACTGGCTTTACATTGGGCCAACAGTGAGTTGATCCAACTATAGTTGTGCGCCAACCATGGCAATGAAAACCTTCAGCTCTGGGCAATGCATATGGATTAAAGCCTGCATGTTGCCTGCCAGTGAGGACTTGCTCAGAGTAAAGTGCTGGCTCCTGGCCATCAGTCATCCTACAAGGGTTTTACTTGCTCTTACATTATATCCAAGCCTGACCTGATGTCAAAGCTGCAGGAGCTCAAATCTCCGCATACATTACACCAGGCCTGGAGTCGCATACTCTCTGCCAGGGGGGGGATAGAGGGTGTTGTATGTCATACGGATTGTAAAATTCAGATTTGTGATTCTGTTATATAAGTAAAATTGACTTAACCTGACAGTTTTGCAGTCAACAGTAGTTACAGCCACGTTTAAGTGTTTGAAATATGTGACTGACATGAGAGTCAAAGTGTCCTGCTTTTGTTAGTTTCTTGGCTGCGTTTCTCATTCTCATGAAAGAAGATGAAATACAACAGAATGCTACAAAAATTACCTGGCTTGTTACATTTGCCAATGGCGAATGGTAGTCAAAAAGTCATAAAGCCATTCCTTTAACAACAAATAGTATTTATGGACTGTTCCATCTAGTGATATTAACCTCACTGATGAATAATCACAACATTCAAGTTCTAGTGCAAATTGATCCAAAGTGCATCCATTAACAGTGAAAGGTCTTCTTAGTATGTCAGCTAAATCACATATCATAGTGTTATTTTGTTATGATGATTAGGATGACAGCTTGCCAGTTTATAACTTTTCAGGATTACTCACTTTTAAGGCATTCTTGAGGAGAATCTAGAAAAGGCAGTTTATAACATATCTATGTATGTAGCTTGGAGCAGCATGTATTTCTGTCTCAACACAACACATAATCCTCTTAGCATATGTTGAAAATGACAAAACAATTATTGTAGTCCTGCATTATAAACAAAGATGTGGTGACTCATTCTTTGTCGAGCTTTGTGTACAAAGCTGGGTGCTGACAGTGGCGGTGTTTGGTAGTGCAGCCTTGCTAGCTGGGCCTGATGCTGCAGACTTATTTCCACATCAGTGAATGGTACAGGCTAAATCTCAGTGGGCTGGGTGACCCACTTTTCAGCTCTCCAAGTACATGTAAGCGCTGTGCGCTGCACATCACACAGCCGTTATCTAGATTCCCTCGCATGCCAGCCAGTAACGTCATATCCCAAAGAGCATCAGGTCATTAAAAATAATTTGCTGTTTTTCTTACATGGGCTATTGCTTCAGTTTTATATCACAGCCCTAATAAAGAAGCTTTGTTGTTGCCTGAATTTGAAATTAAAGAACAATTACAAGAGTTGGTGTACTTATGTACCTATACTCAAGGCTTAAGACATTCCTCTTTGATAAAG